TGTCTAAAAATAACCATAGCTGCAGTCGTAATACAATAGCAGCTAACAATACTCACTGGACATTTAGTGCGTACCAAACACTGAATGGTTTTATTTTAACCCATTTTATCTTCATAATAACACTATGAGTAGGTGGTACTGTGATCTCCATTGAGTAAGTAAGAAAACTTACTTAAGTCACTCCCCCAAGTGACACACATCTAAGGAAGCCAGTCCAGAATTCAAACCTGGTTCTCAAGCTGGTTGTGGAGTACAGGTATCTAACCATCTTGATACCCATTTCTTCCCTGTACTCTTTTGAGTAGTGTTTCCTTATTTATTATGATGGAAGTTCATGCTGATGGTGATGATGGTGATAGTGATGGTGGTGATGATGTCAGTGATGGTGATGGCACTGGCGATGATGATGATGTTGGCGATGATGGTGATGTTGGTGATGATGGTGATGATGGTGATGGTATTGATGATGATGATGGTGATGGTATTGATGTTGGTCATGGTCATGTGGAAGACATGCTTTCGTTTTGTATAGCAGTCAGCTTCTTGGTAGGATTACAAATTATTTTCATAGCTAATCCTCAGAACAAGCCTAGGAGGAGGTATAAATTTGAAATCTGAGGGAAGCGGGCCTTAAGAGGTGGACAAAGTCCACACAGCCATGCTGTGGAGCCTGAAAGGCCTGGGGTGAGGAAGAGCAGACAGGTAGAGTCTGTCCAGGTCCATCTTGCTGCGTCTGCAGCCCTGGGTCCTGACTGCATGGTGGGCACACGGCTGCTGGCCTCTCTGAGGTTGCAGCCAGGGCTTTGCCGAGGTCTCCATCACCGTGCTGCCTGCTGGCCCATTCCTTCAGGAGCAGAGACTGACTCTGTCCCTGGACCTCTCCAGACATCCTGGTGGTGACTCCACACTCTCATGAAAAAGGTGGCACCTTGGGTATGGTTCACTGAGTGGGCTACTAGCATCACTGAATATGCACAGGAGAGGGGGAGGGGGAGGGGGAAGAGGGGGAGGGGAAGAGGGGGAAGGAGAGGCCCATTCCACCGTCATTGTCGTCCTGCAGGTTATAGTGGTCATTTACAGCCACGTAACAAACAGCAGAATCTGAGTGACTATCAGGAATGGGTGTTCTCTGTTCATGCAGCAGGGTGGTTGTCCAGGCAGCCCTGCTGATCCAGCCTGGGCTCTCTCCACATCTGGGACATGGCTGCCTGTTGGCTGAGCTTATTCAGCTGGAGTGGCTGGAGTGTCTTCCTGTCCTGCTGGACCCTGCGGTCCATGAGGGAAGGTGCAGAAGGCGAGAAGACCACTGCTAGCAGAACAAGGCACTGTGAGGCTCCTGCTGACCTCTCCCTTGCTCACTCCCCATTGGCCGAGGCAAGTGGCAGCACCAAGGTTATGGCCATAGTGGGAGAGCATGCAGGGGTACATGGTGGAGGGCGAGGGTGCAGGCAGGAGCTCAGGATCAGGGCCCTGTTTGCAACTGATCACAGAGGACATCATCTCTGGTGTCTCTCAGACTTCTCTGAGCTTAGCTGCCATCGCTTCTTAAAAGTGGTTGTCCCATCAGAGGCAGGAGTCTCATAGGTACCAAGCAACAGTGCAGTGCCCAGAAAGTCACTTGAGGTCTGCAGTGTGGTTCCTCATGGCTACATGACACTGCCCAGTGAGGAAATGGCTCAGCCAGCCCCAAGATGCCATCTGTCTGCCTGTGCCCAGGATGTACGTGTGTGTGTGTGTGTGTGTGTGTGTGAGAGAGAGAGAGAGAGAGAGAGAGAGCCCCAACCCGTGCCCAGGTCCAGGCAGAGGAATCCCTCACTCCTTCTCCTACACCGTGCAGCCTAGGGACTGGAGTCTGGCGGCACAGAAGCTGTAGGGTGGGGAAGCGGTGACCTCTTTATACACAGGTTGGTAGAATCCCTGGTTTCCCATAGGCTCCTGGCCAGACATCCATCCCAGAGGCCAGGTCACGGCAGAGGATTCCCCGTGAAACCCCTGGGTGCTCAGAAGATGGCCTTCTGGGGCGTCGGTGTTCTGGAGAAATGAAGCTGCACGGCCGTAAAGTCTGTTCCGTGTGCAGGATGGAGCCTGGTCATGTAAGACAAATGCCAGTCTTGAGGACGGACACCAAGTTGTGGCCCTGGTTTTCAGTGTGACCTCCCCAGAAGCCATTGTCTGTGGTTGGTGCTGCTGCTGCTCTGCCTTCTCCCCCTCTGCTTCCACAGCAGAGCCCCAAGGAGCATCAGTTCTGAGTGAAGTCGTGACCTGAATCTTGCAGACCATTCCCTTAGGATCACTGGGCTCTGCTCCCCTGCCAGGGGCACGTTTTTTACTGGCTTTGCTATGCCAAGAAGTCATGTGTGAAGGTGGCTTCTGGGTGGCCAGAGTCAGAGGGCAGGGTAGGGGCTAAGCTGGGAGCTTGAAAGTGGTTTTGTGTGCTCCTCTTCTTGTGGGGCTGATAAAGTCAAAGTACAGAATGGGGGAGATAGAAACTATGTCCTCTTCCTCCTCCCTTCCCTCCTACCCCCCCTTCCTCCTCTACTTGCTCTCCTTCTCTTTTTTTCCATCTCCCTGTTCTTGTCTCCACATGTAATCCTTGCTAAGTATCAGCACAGGGGTGTGTGCCAGTGAACTAAAGGTTTATAAAGAGGATGGCTTGCCCTCTGCAAGGACTTGTATCTCCTTTCTCTGAGAAGCTTCCCATTTGTACACCAGTGCCCAGTGCAATAGACCCCTTTCCCCTCCAGCTGGAGTGTCCAGCTCCTCATTTGGAAGCACCGTGTCCCTGCGGCTATGTCCTGGTGTGGACAGCACTCGCTGTGTTGATCAGGGTCACCTTTGTGTGGTCCAGTGAATTGCTTTGAAGGCAGTGATGTGGCTCCTTCGTTTATCTCTGGATTCTCCAAGCACAGCACGGAAGCCAAAGCTGTGTCTATAAAGGGCATCGAGCATAGCATAGGTGGGGATGCTCTTAGATCAGCAGGGAGCTTTGGCGCCAGGCTTCTGAACTCGGGCTAGAAGCAGGGGGTGTTTAACTCCAGCACCCCAACAAGGCGTGTGCCTCACATTCGGCAAGTGCGGGTGAAAGAGGAAGGGGCCCCACCTTAGAGTTCAGCAGGCTTGAGGCTGAACCTTTGCTCTGACTCTGGACACGTTATCTTGCTGCCACCCCATGCCTCAGTAGGCCCATCTATAAAATGAACTCTTCCAGCTTAGGGGGGAAGGGTAGCGAAGCTCTTTGCACAACCCTAGTGTCATAGCTGGTATGCGATTATCTTTTCCCTGTCAAGCAACTCTGCTTATTCTCTCCTGGAGACGATAAAAGCCTTTGTGGCAAGGGTACAGTGAGGTGGGGACTTCTCCTCTGGCTGGTTTTGTTTACTCTTCTCGTGGAAAGAGTATCTTTGCCAGGACACAGCACAACCCGCTGGCTTCCCTAGTCCTGCCTGGATTCCTGGGAAACGGGCAGGACAGCAGCCACCTGCTGCTTGCACTTGCTTGCCTGCTGTTTAGGCAACATATGGGAACAGACAGACAAACATTCTCACTGGTGAGATCCGTCCTCCAGCCTGCGAGCTGCTGACACCTCGTACTTTATAAGGGTTCCCAGGAGGTGTGTGTGTTCCCGCCCTCCTTCTTCCCTCATTCTGCATTTATTGGACACTCACTGTATGGCAGGTGCTTTGCTGGGTTCTGGGAATGTGGTGTTGAGTGAGAGGAGGTACAGGGGACCAGCAGGTGCACACATGTGGTTAGCTGGACAACAGGCCTCCAGAGGTGTCCACATCCTAGTCCTTGGACCCTTTGACGGTCCCCTCACTTTGTGGGTGTGATAAAGTCAAAGATCCTGCTGGATTATCGTAAGTGTCCTTATGAGGGCAGATTTGACTGCCTGAGAGGAGAAGGCAACTGGGCTAGGCAAGCAGAGACTGGAGGGTGCAGCCAGGAGCCAAGGAAGAGTGCTGGCAGCCTCTAGAGTGGAAGAGGCAAGGGACGGATTTTCCTTTGGTGCCTCCGGGAGGAACCAGCCCTGCTGACTCCTGGCTTTGGCCTCTGTGGCTTATTTTGGACTTCAGACTTCCAGAACTGTGAGGGAATAAATTCACATTGTTCTTAGCTGCCATACTTGTGGTCCTTTGTTACAGCAGCAAGAGGAAATGAATCCGATATGTCTCTGCAGTGGAACGTGATGAGCATTGACAGAGGAACCTGAGTGGCTCAAGGGTCCCCAGCCAGTGCCCTGGGATGCCGATGGCTCTGGGTCAAATTTACTCCTACTGTTTTCTAGTTTAGGGGCCCGTTGCATGTCAAAGCCCCAGGTTCACCTGTGGCATGTAAAATAACGATACTGGTCATTTCCATCTCATGGTGCCTGTGATGAACGGACAGAGAAGCACCTGAGAATTCCTGCTGTAAAGTGCAGCAGGTGCACCAGCTCTTTGCTTCTGTGTCTGACCTCCTCCCTGTCTCCTGGTGGACGCTGAGGAGCCGCTCAGCAGGGATGCCAAAGTGCAGGAGCCACATGCCTGCGGCTTTTGGATGGGAAGATTGTTAGGGCATTTAGTAGGATTGGATTTTCTCTTCGTAGTCACCTGTTCCTGACCCTTGTGGGACACTGCCATTCACAGGCGTCTCGGCTTCCTCTGAGAGTGACTCCTAAGTCCTTGTGTTTCTTGCCCTTTGACTGTGCCTGTGGTCATCGTAGGGGTGAGCAGCACAAATTGGGGCTGCCACAGGGCCACTGCACCTGCACGTCACTGAAAAGGCAGCAGAAGGCTGTTGAAGGCAACTCATGGACAACCATCCTGCATGTGGCTGTTAGAGAAACTTGAGGCTCCTCCTCTGGTGGGGGTGGCTGTTCCATTTCTGCCTGCCCACGTGGTCGTGAGGCTCACCCTGGGATTGGACTCCTTCCTGGAGCAGCTGAGAAGGAGCCACAGGACTTTGCTGCTAGCATGGCTGTAAGCTGCAGACTCACTGTCAGGATTCTCACTTGATCACAGGCTGCCTGGGACCCTTTCCTACTGCTATGGCCAGAGCTGCAGCGATGGGGCGGACCCCAGGCGGAGAGAGGAGCAAGCCTGTTCGTGAAAGCTGAATACAGTGCCGGCTACCGTGGCCCCCTGTGGTCACCTCCCCTCTGAGAGGTAGGACCTAGCATGCCCATTTTACAGACTGTCTCCCAGCCTGTCTGTTGGCTGGGTCTGGGCCTTTCTCTCCCTCTCCCCTCGTGCCACACATACATCCAGAAGGGAGTAATCATCTCACCACTTTGCATGTGTGGAAACTGAGTGATAGAGAGGCCGACTTACATGTAGTCACACAGTAAGTAAATACTTGTAGCTCTAGAATTTACGCCTTTTTGCATTGTAATAGATTTCTTGAGGGGTGGGGACTGGCTCTGGTGTACTGTGGGGTATCTTCTTCTTCCTGCCAAGCGACCTGTGTTGTTAGTGTGTGTCGCAGCCTGGTGGCATTCTGCAGAAGATTCAGGACTGAGTGAGGGGCAGCCTGGAAGCACCCAGGCTGTTAGAAGGCACTCCTGGTGAACTTTCAGCATAAATACGACCTGGGCTAGCCGAGTCCCAGCCGTCTCAGATCGTCTGCCCTGCCCAAGAAGCCTGGGCTCTGGCTCACATGATGCCTCTGTGGGGCTGGGGTCTCTAGGCACATGCTCGGTCCTAGTTCCTCCCATCCAGGGCATCACTTGAATCTGTGACGCAGAGCTCAGCCGCGCATTTGGTTGAGCTTGCTTCCTGGTGTCACAGGGCCCTTGAGTGAGGTGACCTGGACAGTGAGATCAGGGTTACTTGTGGGAGAGGTGCATAGCCTGTGACAGGGCAGGGAAAGTGCCATGCACGTGAGTGCCTGTCCACTCCGTCCCATGCTGTCCTAGGTGCTTCCCCGCAGATCATGCCTTGTAGCCCTCCCTGCCCCTGTAAGGGAGACTTGGTTACCCCATGTCACAGATGAGGCAGTTCTAGTCTGGATGTTCAGGAATTGCTTAACTATGGGGCAGTGGAGCCAGGAGCAGAAGGGGTCCTGATTTCCCAAGCCACCTCTGTCAGCACTTTGCTGATGTTAGAAGAGGTGGTTCCAGTGCTTTCAGGAGAATAGAAGAGATGACAAGCGCAATGGCCCTTACCTATATACACTAATTAAAAGAGGAAAAGCCTGGGCTGTCACTACCCATTGCTGGACTGAGGCCAAGGGCAGCAGGTGCAGGTCTGTGCTGCCAGTGGCAGTGGGAAGAGTATATTTCCACTTTATTATCTCATTTCTAAGTTTTATCCTAAGGGGAGAATTCAAAGATAATTCAAAGGAAGAAAGAGATTGTAAAAATATTTATAAAATTATGATTTTTTTTACTTTTGATTATGGAAAATTTTCTTTAAAGTTTTTTTAATTTATTTGAAAGACAAAGTGACAGAGACAGAGAAATCTTCTGTCCACTGGTTCACTCCCCAAATGGTCCCAACAACCAGGGCTGGACCAGAACAAAGCCAGGAATTTTCTTCCAGGTCTCCCACATGGGTGCAGGGGCCCAAGCACTTGGGCTATCTTCTGCTGCTTTCATATCTGCATTAGCAGGGAGCTGGATTGGAAGTGGAGCAACTGGGACTTGAACTGATGCCCATATGAGAGACCATGCTGCAGTGGCTTAACCTGCTACACTGCAGCACTAGCCCCTATGAAAAACTTCAAACACCTGAGAAAGTAGGGAGAATTAGTATAATGAGCACCAATGTAGCACCCAATATCCAGTTGTAATTATAAACATTTGCCTTATTTACTTCATCGTGTTTGTAAAATACTTCTAGTAAATTATAGACATAATATTTCACTTTCAGATATTGAGAATGGTCTCTGAACCTGGCTTCTTGAAGTGGAAAACGTGATCATGGGACTTGCCCATTCACATTTCCATCCTTAAGTGAAGTCATCGATGAATCATGATGTGAGAGTGCCCTGTAAAGTGTTCCAGTGTGAGCTACTCCCTGTCTCCCACCAAGGCACACCCACACCCTCTGTGTTCAGAGGGGCACTCCAAGTGCACTGATAACCCTGCACAGTGCAGAAGCAAGAGGCGCATGATGCGATGGGGACTTTCTGGGGTGCCGTCTGAGAAACCGGGAGATGATGGCAAGTGAACTCAGAGTGCCCCACCGCGCTCACCATCATGCCGATTGACTGATGCCTCTGTCTTCTGACCCAGTTTAGTGAGCTGCAGGTCAGCTGTGTACCCATCTGTCCCCCGCTCTGGATATGAAGTGGACCCAGAGTCTGTGCAGTGGTTTCCAGGATGGTGAGGAGGGGAGAAGACAGGTGAGCCAGACGAGCGGGCTCCTGGTTCCATTGGAGAGCTCCAGTGGAGGCTTCTGGATGCTGTCGCCGTCAGAGCCTGCCTGGGTTCCCTGTGGCTGCTGGAGCAGCTGACCACAGGCTGGGTGCCCCGAGACAATGCAAATGTATCTCGTGGCTCTGGAGGCTGCCAGTCTGAAATGAAGGCGTCAGTGGCTCTTTGCCCCCTGTGACGTCTCCAGGGAGCCTTCTTACCGCTGCCTACTTCCTCTGGATGCTGGCAGCCCTCGGCTTTTCTTGGCATTGTAGACTCAGTGTTTGTAACCTCCCCAGACCCCAATCCTTTTCTCCAAATCTGGCACTCAGGAGGTTGGTTATTAAGGTTAAATGGAAGGGGCTGGTGTTGTGGCTCAGCGGGTTAACGCCCTGGCCTAAAGTGCCAGCATCCCATATGGGTGCTGGTTCGAGACCCGGCTGCTCCACTTTCAATCCAGCTCTCTGCAATGGCCTGGGAAAGCAGTAGAAGATGACCCAAGTCCTTGAGCCCCTGCACCTGCATGGGAGACCCAGAGGAAGCTCCTGGCTCCTGGCTTCAGATCGGCGCAGCTCCAGCTGTTGCGGCCAATTGAGTAGTGAACCAACGGATAGAAGACCTCTCTCCCCCCCCCCCCCCAACTCTCCTCTCTCTGTGTAACTCTGACTTTCAAATAAATAAATAAATCTTTAAAAAAAAATGGAATCATTCATGATCCCTTGGATTCTGTAACGACTCTGTCATACACTCATGTCCCCCCCCAAAGCACTCCCTGGAATATCTTGGTATAAAAGACCCGCATGGCCTTTGTCCTCAGGGAGCTGACAGTCGACAGTGAAGAGGAGAGGCAGATAGGAGACACAGACACTGAGTTACAGCCTCTCACACAGAGCCAGGCTGGGTTCTGAGAAAGAGAACTGCAGGCTCAGCATCTTGTGGAACCCCCTAGCAAGGAGGTGCCAGCCAGGTGTGCAAGGAGGCAAAGCACCTCTGTGGAGCAGGGGTGTGTGTGCAAAGGCCCTGTGGGGCAGAGGAGCTGGCCCTGTCCAGGAGCAGAAAGAGGACCCAGGCAGAAGGCAGGTGGGGAGGAAGGTGGGCAGGAGCTGCTTACAGATTCAGAAGACAGGACCAGAGCCGGCGAAGGAGTCTGCCTCCTGCTGCTGCTCCCTGCTAGGTACTAACTGGAGACTTCCAGCTAAGTCGACAAAGGAGGCCCCTCCTGCTTGTGTTTCCAGAGGAGCCAGGGTTTAATTGGCATTTTGGGTGACATGTGGCTTCTTTAGAAAGCAAGATGTAATTTCTGGCAGATTTCTTGGCTGTTTGAGAAATAGCATGAAGACCCTGGTGCAGGAGTCCAGAGAGCCAGGCTGGAATCCCTGCTGTGGACTTTGGTTTCTCTGTTGGTTTGACATTGAGGATTTGGAGCGCATGTCCATGCAACTCTCACTGGGCTCCGGATTCCTCCAGCAGTCTCCACGCCATCTTCTCCCCCACTTAGCCTTGAGAAGCATCACTGTCCAACGTGTATTCATTGTGCCTGGCACTTCCCTGGGTGCAGTGAACTGCCGAGGCTGATGATGCCCCAGGGAGATCTGTAGTCAAGTGGGGGAGGCTAAGAAAGAGAATGCAGTTCCCTGCAGGCCAGGTGCTAAGTGCCACCTGTGGCAGGTGAGTGGGCTCCAGGGTGGTGGTCTTTGTGGAGTGCCAGGACCCTGCCCCCCCCCGTGCAGCCCTGGCTGAGACCCCCTTCAACGTCACTACACATAGTCATTGACAGGGCCCAGTTGCTGCTAGCTGCCTCCTTGGGGAGAGAGAGATCCTTTATTGCTTCTGAAAACATGCTGTGCAGAAGGCGGAGTCTTGCTGATTGAAAGGCACTTCTGAGATGTGACATAGCCCAGTGTCACTGGGCTCGGGGAGGGGAGGACCTGTAGGGTCCTTGATGCTGGCCATGTTGGCAGAGTGCTTGGCTGAGAGCTGGAGCGGACCTGGTGTCCTGTAGTAGGAAAGATGCAGCTCCGTGCGCCACTCCCATCGTGTCTTCAGCCAAGGCCCAGAGGGAGTAGGCGCCGTCTTTGTGCCCAGGTCTTGCTTGAGGGAGGGGCAGGAGGACGGGCGACTGGGGAGGGAGGGGCAGCTACATTTGCCAGGCTGCACTGTGTGCCCCTCCTCTTGGCCACTGGAAGGCTTTCTTCCTCTTGGCCGAACGCCTCTCTCCTTTCTGCCTTTGTTTCCTCTGACCATTGGGGTGTGAAACCGCAGCTGCCTGGTAGCCCAGTTCACAACGGTGAGCACCTGCCCAGGTACCTGCCTCTGCTCCTTGCTCCCTCCCTCCGGCATCTTCCTTTCCTTACCTGGCTGGCCACCTCATCCTTTTTTTTTTTAATGCAATTCATAAAAGAAACCATATGCGCTGCCTGTGGGAATCTTTCAAAGCCACGCATCTGTCCTGGTCCCTTCCGGTCCCATAGTCATGTTAGTGCCCTGTGGGCCTGGTGGCCATTGCTCAGCTTTGAGAACCGTGGTGGGTGCTTCTTCCCTCCTAGCTGGGTGGGCTTCAGAAGCTTCCCCATCTGGGCACTGAGGGCTGGAAGGACATCCCTGGGGAAAAGGCATGTTAGCTGCAAAGGACAAACCAGCTCTTTGGAGGGAGGTGATGGGTTCAGAGGGTGAAGGGAAGGAGCTTTGCTCTTCCTCTGTTGAGGTGGGGCCACTGGGGACTTCCAAGCCTTGCATTTTCCCCAGATGCTTTCGGCTGCTATGCTGGAAAGGGGCCAAAAGGGGCAGAGGTAGAACAGTTTGACCACACAG